GTGGTTGAACCACTGAAAAACCAGTACTACAGCTCACAGCCCTAATTCATACTAGAGCATTGGCAAATGCTATGCAGATCCAACGTCTATGCGATGCCTGGAGTGGGTCGATGCCTTGCATTTCGAAGTATTGGCCGCCATGCGGCAGGGACCTTCGATTGCGCGTTTTGTGTTCGGAGTTGAGGGGGTTCAAGCTGTATCACGTCCCCCAATACGAACTATTCCGCCGTTCCATCATCAATTTTTGGTGGTACCCCGAACATATCTGGGCTAGCCGGAAGGCGTGACACAACATTTGACACAAGGGCGTGATGGGGGCGATGCCTGATACTCGTACAAAGTGTTTAGGGGTCCGGGTATCTAGACCGTCTGGGAAGTAAATCCATGGCCAGTAATTCGGATGATTAGCCCTTGTATCCGTATATAACCTTTGCAGCCACATCTGCTAACCAGTTTTCCTACTGTTACTCCAGGCTCATCTAAGTAGAGGGTTAAGTGGCCAAACCCAGAGGAATCAAACCCCCTCTGTTCATAGGCACTATACGTACGACCTTAACGATTGAGTCTTCAGCCGAAGACTTATGAGTCAAGAAGTCAATATCTAGGGTATGGGGGACGGGACTACTTGGACATCAAAATTCGCTGAAACAATGGTCGAACATGCCAACAAAAGAGCAAAGCAAACAAAAGAGCAAAGGGCAACTATTCTACATGTTTTGGGTGGTTCAGGTACGGGCTCAAGTTGGGGTGCAGCATGTAAAGCATACAGGAGTTGCATAATTAGGCCTGTATAAGATATGTAGGATTATGTAGGGTGATATGGCCGCACAGTGGATAATCCAACAAAAATAACATGGAAGATGACATCTACTCTTTTGGGTTTATCGTGCTGCTAACAGACAATCAATCCTTCAAGGCTGAAAAGGCTCGCTGAAAACAATTTTTTTTTAAAAAAAAAAACAACATGAGCATAATTAGCGCACGGAGCCTCCTAGAAATGTGTAGACCTAGTCAGTGGCGAGAGCCAATGCTGATGGTGAAAAGAGCAACAACCTGGACAACAGCGTCTTGGTGCTGATTTATGTTTGTGGAGGAAGCCTTGCACTACTTAAGGTCCTGAAGCTACTGTCATCATTCTTAAGAAGTATGTGACATGTGGTAGGGCAGGATTCCCCCGCAAAATAAATCATTGATCATCATAAGAAAGAGCAGAGCTTCAAACCCTAAGCCCTTAATCCATAAACGTCAATACCATACAGCTAGAACCCGACACCCTGGCTGTGTTCAAGGTTTAGGCTGGGCTGAAAGATTCTCGGCCTGGCTTGACATCAGCATGCCAGCATCTTACATGCTTCTTGGGAAGCTATAGCCTGGGTTGGCCCTGAAACCCACTGAAAAATATTAGTATATATGGTCACCTATTAAAGCCAGGCCTACCCAGTAGCAAAATCCAGTACCACACTGCTTTCCAGAAAGTCCTTGGTAGCTTTCCAACCTCTACATGTGGGTCTGTTCTAAGGGTACTTCTTAAGAGAGGAGCTTTGAGAATACACTTGCTCAAATGGTGATCCCAACCCAAACGGGAATCTACCTTCTGAGAATCCTGGGGACAAGTACTTTCAACCGCATCCCTCTGCAAGCATGGAACCGAGTGTATGCCTGACTAACTATGGAATTCTGCAATCTTATTGATATGCGATACCGCCGTCTCCACTGCTCTCATTGCATCACGTGGGCTTTGCCAAATTCAATGCACCTGGTGTTGACACGAAGGCGGATGTGCTCAAGTACAGCATGCCCCACAGGCGCCAACAAAAACAATCCAGAGTCGGGTGGCAGACCACTGACCTCGTCCGGAGTTGGAGATACACAGGAGTCATTCGTAGGTGTCTCCTCCCCGCAACCCCTGATCTTCACTTCTTCGTAGGACTCTTCGTCCTCGACTAGAGCCTCCAGTTCGGCTACTATGGTCTGAAACAAGATGTAGGGATCCCCCTAGCAGCTGAGGTCGGCGGCTAACTTCTTATAATTTCAAACGCTTGAAACAAAGCAACGTTTTGACCAATACTACCCAGTAGTAGTTTCCGTTTTCTTTTCCATTATCCCAATATAACCCCCAATATTGGGTAGTTTCCATTTTCTTTTCCATTATCACATAGCTTTTCTACATATACTAGTAGTAATGATAGCAGTAAAAAAATGTAGTAACAATAGTAATAATAAGAATAGCAATAGTAGCAATAATAACAGTAAGTAGAAGTTGAAGGGCGCGAAGAGCAGGGCATCAGGCTATACTTACAGAGGCCAACTATAAGCCCACGTACATGTCCCCTAAATCTATAATCCCCCTTAAGTAGACAGGATATGGCTTCGGGTACAGTATAATAAGACCCCCATATACCCCATCTTCTATCTACTTAAGAGGGACTATAACTACCCTAAACCCTAAACCCTCAACCCTAACGTAACATCCCAAATCTTGGATACCCGAAGCTCTCAGAACTTGTGTAGCCTCAGGTCCAAGGTACCACCGTGTCTCGCCGAAGTGTGGGGACACAAACACCCCATTCTGCTGGAAGTGCCTTTCAGCTTACGGGTTTAGGGTTTAGGGTTTAGGCTTTGGGTTTGGGGGTTTTGGGCTCCAGCGGTCAACTTTACGGCTCTTGGGCCCCGATCATGAAATCCCAAACCTTTGCCCCCCCCGAAAAACCCAAACCGTCCCCACAAAGCCCACTGACCTTAAACCCTAAACCCTTAAACCCTAAACCCCTAAACCCCTGAACCCTTGAACCCTAAAACCCTTAAACCCTTAAACCCTAAACCCTTCACCACGTAGTCCTAGGAGCATTGGGGCCCGAAAGGTTTAAGAGGTTGGGATCCCAGGTTCCAGCTCTTAAGGGTCCAAGGGGTTTAGGGTCAAGGGGGTGGTAGGGTTTAGGGTCAAGGGGTTCAGGGGTTTAGGGTGTAGGGTTCAGGGTGTATACTCTAGGATGTAGGGTTTAGGGTGATAAGGCTTAAGGGTTAGGGTTTAGGCTATTAGGGTTTTAGGTCCCAAAGATATTTGGGTACTTGGGCGCTGAAAAGTTCAGAGCTTCAACACGAAGTTTGACGAGGTAGAGTTAGGTAATTCACGGCATTTGTCACAGCCGCACCTCCCACACCCTAGTGTAGAATACTTCGTGTATACTAGCCCATGTAGAAAAAATATAGGTACAGATATGCATATGCACACATAACCCGAAGGGTCCAAGCACCCAAAAAATAGGGTTTCAGGGTCCAAATACTATAGCATTAATGGTATTTGGGCCCTAAAACTTGTTTATTTGGGTCCTTGGACCCTTTGGGTAATATGTGTACATATGACGGCTTCTTCGCAGTCTCAGCGTTGGAACTTGAAGCTGCCGCTGGTGCCGCCGAAAAACCTGATGAGACCGTCTTCTCTGGAGCCCCGCTGGCTGCTTCCGGATCCTGGTGCGATTTCCCAGAGGGTCCAAGGACCCAAATAGTAGGGTTTTAGGGCCCAACATCATGGTATTTGGGCCCTGAGACCCCATGATTTGAGTCCTTGGACCCTTAGGGTTTGGGATTTGCACAGCACTGCATGGACTTCAAAACTGGCATCTACACCTCCCGTCTCAATACCCTGCGCCGTCCTGCTTGGGCACACCTTTCCTTCACCGGGGCTTTGAGTTCTGGCAAGGTCTCAAGGCCACCACTTTGACACAGATCCAGGGGTTTAGGGTTTAGGCAGGGTTTAGGGCATTGCGCCTGCATATGGCGCAGGACTTGCTGCCCAACGACAAAACATATGTCTTGGCGTAGCCGCTTGCCTGCAGGCGCTCTTCCTCCCAGATAAAATACTTCGTCATACCTTGAAGCCTGCGCAGCTCTGGTATGAAGATTCAAGACTGCAACTTCAAGAGTTGAAGCTCCAAATTCAACCCTCAGTTGGGGATATGTTTCGGGGTATGTTTCGGGGTATCGGGGGCATCAAACATGCGCCCTTTCCTGAATTCCTGAGGCGCCATGTTTGGAAACACCGATATGTAACATATGTACATGTCTGCATATGTGTATACATATATACAGATGTATATAGGTATGTGCGTATAATGGGGATATATGGGGATCATGGTGGATGCTCACGTTTAACATTTGAGGGTAGGGGTACTTAATCTTAGCTGGAAGGGAGTTCAGTCAAAGAGTTTGACGTCGAGAGCCTACATTTTAGGTTTCACAGAACAGGAAGTGTTGTGTGTAGCTGTACAGCCTGTGACGGCCTCGCTTCATGAGTTCTGCACGTTGGATTTCTTGTAGCTGCTCTGCTAGCAATCCCATGCGAAGCTTGATACACGCAACACGGCTGAAGTTTGCAGCTACCACAGACGGTGAGAAAGAGACCCGACACGCAGAACCGCGCCATCCCCCCTCTGAGAACTTAGAAGGTACATGCCTCCAAAGAGCCCACGTGTTCTTCCGATGATGAGTCATCCCACCACTAATATTGCAGTGACTGACAGTGACTGTTCACAAAATAATGCCTGAACCCTAAACCCTAAACCCCTAAACCCTAAAACCTTGTTTGCCGGGGAAGGCCAGAGACGCTCCCATGATGGATTCAACCCAGACATCTCGGCAAACATCGCTGAGCACCAGTGCCCGGGTTTAGGCTTTAGGGTTAGGGCCATTTAGGGTTTAGGGCTTAGGGTCTAGGGCTTACGGCCTCTGATCCACTAGTCCAAAATCCTTAGCCGTCAGCACGAAAACTCAAAATAAAATCCCCAGCTTTACACATCCCAAATCCTGAGGCCTAGGCCCTGAATTGGGCTGCTGTCAAGGAACTTAGTTTAAGTTACTATATTGGGGAGACCCTCTTATTTAGTATCTATACCCACGCTCGTAACTTAATTGAAGTTCCTTAACAGCAACCCAGTAAACCCTAAACCCTGTATACCATAAATGCCAAGCCTCACCTCCCCTAACCTGGAGCCCGAGCCAGCCTCAAGCCCATTGAAGAAGGCCGTCCATGGTATACCAGCCGCCAGCGAAAGTGGGCGACCTTCTAGCCCTAGGGCTCAAAGCCTATAAATAATGCCAGGATTGGGCGCAAAGTCCATAAATAGTGCCTATCTGGAGCCTTAGAGTACTTCACTTTGCGCGACGGTGATAGAATTGAATCCATGGCTGCTTAGGGTTCAAAAAGTAAACCCTGGAAATAAATGGGCAGAACGTGGGAACCTATATCCCATCATTTTGAAATCGAAGCCCTAAGGGTCAGGTCCCTTGCTCTCTCCCTAAGGGTCCAGTATACAGGGTTTAGGTACATTGACCTAGTAGCTTGGGATTCGTGAGCCCATAATCTTCATTACCAGTAGGTTTGTGGGAGTGTGTGATAATCATATACGTTGAGCACTTTTATTCTTAGGCGGTGGGCAGTATGAAGTATGAAGGGAGTAACCAGCAACGAGCAATGCGTGCCCCTCAATTACCGTCACCACTCCTATTTGCCCGCAGCACCTTCATGTTACGTGCGCGTCCACGGTCATAGTATCCATATAGATACTTCCACAACTGCAAGATTACGGCTCTTTACAGCGAAACAAGACACTAGCGCATGCATGCCCAGACCCATGATAGCCTTCACCACTACCGCATCCACATGCCGGCCCCCATAATAAGAGTCACTTCGTCCACATCCACAACCACCAGAACACTCCTACACACAGGACATTCCGATGAGCGGGCATTTGGCGCGGGCAAATAGGGGGGGGGGGGGCGTAAACTTAGGGTCTAGGGTT